GACTCAGGTAACTTGCTGAGATTCAATTTGAATGGTGCCCATATTTATATTTAGAAATACAAAGCAAACTTAAATCTACAATAGTGCCATGATAGCAAAATGAGTAAATTTATTATTGGTGGTCTTGTTCAGCTCTTGCTATTACAGATGTGGGAATTTTGAAGCACTTGGATCTTGTGTGAGTCCCATTCGTGCCCAGCACCTGACTGCAAGCAAAAACCCTCCGTGGTACAACTGCATAGCAAAGAAGCCTTTTCAGCTCCTGAAAGCTAAAGTGTTTGAAAAGATGAAGACGTTTAAAATACAAACTGATTTTTAAACTCAGGACTAAATTTTTATAGCTCATAATGGATATTTCCAAGTTGATAACAGGTATTTAATGTTAAGGATCTGCTCCTCTGAAAGGCATTTTGTTGAGCACAAATTCAGTGCACCTCCCACCTCCTTGCATTGGAACATTTATGACATTCTCACCAATTCACAGCTGCAAGCAGATCAAAACCCAGCTTATTTAGACAACTGTCACATCCAGAATGACTGACAGGGCTTTCAGGAAAGCAAATCTGCTTTGACTGAAGGTTTTTATTTGAATGTGGTTCAGGTAAAGGAGGATTGTGCACCAGGAACCCAAACTAATGCTCCAGATTTTATTTAATACAATTACAATTAGCTTAGCAAGGCAGACAAGCAGAAGTGAGTCTTTAAGCACAGTTTTATCTCCAAGCAGAAGATACAAGCTTCCTAAAACAATAACCTTCTATTGGAATTCTGATGCAATGAAAAATGTCCACCTACTTAAACAAACCCATATTTTAAATTAAAATGTCTGAATGCCATATGAAAATTACCAAAAATCATTAAAAAAATAGGAACAATATTACCACAACTCCTGTTTGTCTTGAAAAGGTTAAACAAGGAGTGGAAGCCCTTCAGATGCTCCCACCAAAACCAAAAACCAGATGCTGAGACTGAACCAGGGAGGTTCAGGGTCTCCTTTCCATTCTCAAGGTGTGCCCTCAGCATGGAAATAATGACAGGGCAGCAACTGATCTGATTGTGATGCAGGAATTAAACACAAATCCAAATTGTGTGCTGAGAGAGCAGAGGGAATCCTCAAGAAACACAGAGGGATCTAAAGCAGAAGCTCCATGCAGGTCCCTTGCAGCGCTGCATCCCCAGCACTGAGAGGCACAGAAAAACGGCCCAGGGCATCAGGGAGGCTGCCACAGTTTGCATTTATGGCACAGGAGGGCACTGGTTATTAACATTCCCAAAAGAAATTAAATTCCGTGCCAAAAAAACTTAGAAACTTAATAAAAAGAGCCTTAGCAGAACAGTTAGCTCTGTGCAGAAATTTGCTTAAGCTAATTTAGAGGAAAAAAATTATTCCTGAATTGGTCTTCTTTTAATAATTTCACAGCCCAGGGCCAGGAGAAAGGGCAGGGATTATTGTGCAGCAGCAGCGCTGGATGCTGATTTTAATGGTTCCCTGTGATAAATGCCACCTAAAACTGCTCTTTATTACCCCAATATTGGCAAACTTGCAAAATTCAAGGGTATTTTTGGAAGAAGAACCAACATTCCTAGAAGCTGATGTCTAATTATTATTTTGTGGGCTCCCTAAGCAAAGCAATCCCCTGGAAGGACAATCTCTCTCCCTGAAATCTGTGGCTGGAAACAATAAAGTGGAGCCCTGAGCTCAGGAGAGAGGAACCACACAATGGTTTTACACATTGAGAAATCTGCAGAAGAACAGAAAGGGTAGAGTGAAATGTAAAACCAGAGGAGGGGGGCAGGAATTTATTATTATTACCTCCATGACCTGCTAACAAAACCATTTTTACTGGAAAAGTCTGGGGTTGTAATGCAACCCATTACAGTGTAGCTTTTCATTTCCAGGCTTAGCAAACAAACATAATGCAGTGAAACATATTTGAAATGGGTTTTATTTTTCTGAACCTGTCTGTACATTTCACGTTTTGATTTTTTCCCAGCAGAAGTACTGCAATGTTGAGCAGTCCCTCTCTTCCCTTCTGCACCTCTTACCCAGTCTGAATCTGACTGGAAATTAATTTAAAATGAAATTATTTCAAAGGCAGGACCATGTAAACGCAAACATTCTACAAGGTACAGCAGCAACCCCTGTAAAAAAGGCAAACTGAAGAGGTGGAATGACACTCCTTGTTGTAAGTCTGTAGTAATTTGAGCTCCATTATCCAAATTAATTAATCCTTCCCAGGTCCAACCCACTCACCCAAAGCCACAGGGAACACACATAGAGGGGTTTTTTTTGCCTTTTTTTGGTTTTGTTTTGTTTTTTTGGGTTTTTTTTTGTTTTTATTTTTGCAAAATTGTGGGGTTTCAGCTAAACTGATCGAAAATCAAGAAGTGAAACTACAGTTTGTTCCTTCTGAGTTAAATTTCCTTCATGAAGCCACTGGAAGCAAACACAACACAAGCTAAATTTCCATGATGTTCTGATTGCAGCCACTGTGAGGGTGTGAAACCTCTCGAGTTTTAATTTTCACCATGAGAAGATGCAGAAACAGAATAAGCAAGTTTGGAAAAACACAGATCTAGAGCACATACATGAAAAATGTACAAAAGTGAATTACTGCAGTGCTGAGTGGTTTTGGGGGCATTTTCTTTGTGGGAATTTTTGAGGTTTGGACAGGGTTTTTTGGCCTTTCTGTAGGGGCCACCTGTTACCAAGGAATTAGCAAAACTACAAAAAGTAAACAAGCAGAAGTTGTTTTTTCTCCTTGCTAAACTCCAGCCACAACTGACACAGCAAAATGAGATCTGTGTCCAAACAGGCAGAAAACTTTTAATGGATTTTCCTCTCAGACCATAATGTGTAACCAAGACAAGCTCAAAGCCAAAACTTTGCTGGACAAGTCTAACTTTGGAAATAGCAACACCTTTATTAATTTTTCCCCATGAGTGTCCCAAACCCAAACTCCAGAGCAGTTCAGCTCTAACAATTCACAGAAACCTCTGCACTGTTCCTCGCCCACAAACAGAATTATTCCATTTGCCAATCACAACCACACCACCCAACAAGCCCAGAAATCCCCCAAACTCTTCTTTGCAGGCCTTTTATTTCCTTTTTTTTTCTTCCCTTCCACTGGACCAGAGGAGGCATGGAATTAATTGTTTATGCCAATCTCACTGGCTGGAACTCTGCAGGACAGGGTGGCACCAAGCAGGGAACTGTCACTGCTCCTTTTCCGAAGGAGAGATGTGGAAGGATGTAAATGTGGTCCCAGGATTTTCATGCTGTAGTTCACCGCTCACATTTTAGCCACATTTTTACTCTGGTGTGTAGACAAGTTACTCACAAAATGTCACGAACATTTCTAAACCACATGAGAAAATTTACATGAACATTTCAATGAGATATTTAACTGGTACTAACAATTATTGCATCCTATTCTCAACTCTTAGTTACCCCTGAAAATTTCACTTTATGGCCTTCCTCTGTTACAGAACACTCACATTTGGCCAGAGTTTAGAACCAGTTCTGTTCTCACAGTGAGTTCTCCAAAGTCAATCAGCTCCTCACACTTAAAAGCTCACTGGAATACCACCTGGTTCAGTGAAATTCCAAACACAGAACTCAAAGTAACTACATAAAGCAGAAAATCAGCCAAAGGGATTTTTAATTAGCTCTGTCCCCTGTTTTTGCTGAGGAATCCCTGGTTTTGCCCCAGGTTCAATCATCTTCTGTTTGCTCAGCTGCTGCAGATTTTGTGCAATCTCCTCTGGTCCCTGGGAAGCTTTGCTTTGTCACCACGTGGTGACGAATGTCTCCTCAAGCCACAACACAGAGAAACCATCTCTCAAAATGATACTTCTCAAGATAGGGGAAAAAGCAAACTTTGATCGAGGATTTCTTTCACGTCTGATCTGAGAGCAGAAACAAGCCCTGAATTAAGAATGATCCTGGAACTGGAGGGGAATTGACTTCAGAGTATGAACAAATCAAATCACTTACTTGTATTTTTCCATAAGATCATGCATATGGCAAATTAAAATAATTATGCACTACCTTTGCTACTAAAGAGAGTAAAAGAATTTGCCTTTGCTCTTCTGTTTCTCTAAAAAGAATCATCAGCCAACATGAACCTAACCCCAGCTCACTGAGGATCAGGTGGATTAACATGGCTTATTTAAGACCCTCTTTTGCCAAACATATCCACACCAAGCTTTTGATTTCATGCCAAATAACTTCAACTGTAGCTTTTTAAGACTGCATTTTTTACTATAAGACATGCTTGAAATGAAAAATTGCAAAACACAGTTACCATGAGCTTTGATGAAAAGTGAAAGCAGAGTAAATGCATTTCACAAAGTGTGTGCATCTGGAATATCATAAGCAGAGAAGTGAATGAAAGAAACGCTGCCACTGATTCTCAAATTGTCTCAAAATCAGCTTTGCAGGCAGAAGCAATTGCTCAGTAAAGTGGACAGAGTTGAGTCCAATACCATTGTCCTTCTCAGGAAAACGAAGCTATGTTAATGCATTTTTACTTTGAAGTAAATATAGATATTTATTTAAATATAATAAATTACTATCTCAATGCATTTCTACTTTTAAGACTCCAAAACTGGAAGTTCCTACCAGAGCACAACACACCCAAGAGCAGTGCTTGGAAATGATGACCAGCTGAACACTCAAATCTTGTTTGTTAAGGAGCTAATACTTCTCAAGGCACCGCCTACAATGAATTAATTATACTTACAGCTGTAAGAATGAAGCACACTCAGTGCAGGGAGTTTAAATACCATTGCAAAGACAACAGGAGCCCTTAGTGCCCTTGGAGCTGGAGCGGCAGGCTAAAAACCTGTGATGGTGGTGGGCTTTCATAGGGGCTCAGTGCCCAACAGCAGCACAGTGAAAACTGGTGGCAATCTTTGTCAAAGAACTTCAGATTGTTGTGCTTGCAGCCCAGCTGAGGCTGCTCATTTCAGCCCAAAGTTTGCAGGACCTCCCTTACCTTGCGCTCGCGGCGTTCGTTTCCTGCGGTCCCTGAACGCTGCTCCCGACTGCAGGGCCTCCAGCAGGCTGTCCATCACCCCCGTCTCATCACCCTCTGTGGGGAGCAGGAAAACAAAACTCCATCAGCACGGCTGCCAGCAGGCTTGCAAGGAAACAGAAGTGCGAGTGTCACTATAGGACACAAAAGAACACAAGCGCACACGGCTGTTCTCAACGTGAAGGAAAAAAAAGAAAGTTTATTTTCTGACTCCAACATTTAGAGGTTTCCAAAAGTGGCAGTGGATTGGAGGGTGACAGTGCCACCTCTCCAATGACACTGGACAAACCAACAGTCCATCAAATTCTCCTCCTACATAAAGGAATGCAAAACAATCAGTTATTTACAGAAAGTGGGTGAGAAAGTTCACTACAAGAATGTTAGCATCAGAAAGCTTAGAAAACCTTAAAAACCCAGGGCGACAAAAGAGTTGCCCCGTTTCCATAACGCTGCCAAAGAGGAGGCAGGCACACCTCAGAGCAAGGCTGCTGGCAGGGCAGGGGGCACTCTGTGCTGCGGGCAATGCCCACCAGGCAAAGGCGATGCCAACCCTACTGTTCTCTCAGGAAGAAAATTTCATCAGTACAGCTACATGCAGATTTAGAAGCAAATACAAGTCCAAGAGTTGTCCCATCTCCATAATGCTGCCAAAGAAGAGGCAGCACATCTCAGGGCAGGGGGCACTCTCTGCTGTGGGCGATGCCCACCAGGCAAAGGCGATGCCAACCCTACTGTTCTTTCGGCAAGAAAATCCCATCAGCGCAAGAGCAAGCAGATTTAGAGGGCAACAAAGTCCAAGAGTTGTCCTGTTTCCATAATGCTGCCAAAAAAGAGGCAGGCACATCTCAGGGCAGGCGGCTCTGCTGTGGGTGATGCCCACCAGACAAAGGTGATGCCAACCCTTCTTTCAGCCTGGAGGTGCCACCTGTGCATTACTGATGGCATCCTCAGCATGCAGAGGGGCAGCAGCTGCTGGGTGAGTGATTGCTGCCTCACTGCTGGGATGGCTGCAGGCTTTCCTGAAGTGCAACCAGGTCAATCTAATCAATGCATCTGATGGCACTGAGCAGCAGAGAGTTCAATATTGCAGCTCACAGAAAATATTTGATATGACGCCTCCCGACTTCATGACTCACTAGATCTTTGGGAAAATCATCTATGCAATCAATAGCATGGATGATCTTCAGGTGGCATAAGGAGAATGAGGAGGGGATAATCATGTAGCAGAAGTCAGTGGTGTAACATTTCTTACCAGCTGAATTTTACTTCTGCTCAGTTTTTTATTTTGCTTTTTTCCATATCCGAGCTAACTTGCAGCCTTTAAATTGCTGGACTTTATGGTGCATTATGGAAATCTGGGTGGAAAAAATTACTTCTTTTTATATATTTGAGTCTTTACATTCCTTTGCATTTCAGTCTGTTAATAACAGTTGACAGCAGCATTCAGCAGCACGAGAAATAGAGGTCAAAGAACTGTAAGGTTACAAAACTACTGATGAATGCCTCTTTCTGTTCCCACATCTGTGTTATAACCCAAAACTAAAATATAGGTTAGGCTCAGCAGGGAGGTGGACATTTCATCCACATCTCTCAGACTCCAAACTCCCAAATTTCCCCATCTGGGAAAGGGAAGATCATTACTTTATGCAAAAAAATTACATTATGGTAAAACCTTCTGACTCACACGAGGTGTGGGAGGTTAGATGCACATTCAGGCTCTCAAATGCTCAAGTTTAAAAGCAGGCTTTTAATGAATAAGCTGTTCTGTCCTGTCCCTGTTACATTCAGATTTATTAGACTCAATCCACACCTGGTGTAAGAGCACACCTAAAACAGAGCCTGGTTCAAATTTCTACAAGGTGATCATTAGAACAACTACTGGATACCTGTAAATTATCTATCCACCTAAACTGACACCATTGTGCACACACAGCACACCCAGGGTAGCAGAAAGGGAGCAGAGCAAGTGCAGGAACCAGCACAGGACTCTGAAATACCAGTTTTAATTACATTCCATCTAAAAGCCTTAAACAACTGAGCTCCTGCAAAATAAATAAGCAAATTAGCTTTTCTCAATTCTCACTCACATCCAAAGCCAGAATTTTCTCCAAACTGTGCAACATAATTGTTTTTCTTTGTGCTTCTTATCCTACCCATGCTTATTCATTGATTTGCTGTTGGCTCTGTATTAAATTTACCTTCAAAATCAAAGGTCTGTGAATACACTTTGTCCAAATTAATACACATCAAGTTGGTCTGAAACACTTAATGGCAGTGACTGCACACCCAGAACTAGTTAATATCTGGAATATTTAATGTGTAGAAAAATTACAATATTCTTCGATCTTCATTAAAAGTAAGAGCTGGCAGAGTTTATTAAAAAAGACAAAAACCCTTCAATACTTCATGAATGTTTATGCAGCCTTCCATTTTTTTTTTTTTTGCTGAGTGAGCTGCTCTACCTGCTAATTACTGCAAGTGCCAAAAGCCAGCCTGGCTTTGGGATGCCAGCATGTACAACATAAAACACATTACTGAGGAAGCTGCAGGACAGAGTGATGAGATTTTTAACTCCTCAAAGTCAAATTCATGCAAGGTCTGATCTCAGCATTGCATCCTAATCACAGCCTTCAGGTGGTTAAGTGGGAACTGGAGAAATAACTGCATTTTCAGGGAGTCCTGATTAAAATTGATAAATAAAATTCAACAGGAATTTCAGTCTTTCCCTATAGTTCTTGCTGCAGTTCTTCACACAGCACCAGCAACCTCCTCCATTTGTCATTTCTATACCACCCACAGCAATTTATAGACACAAATAAAAAACAAAGACAGAAATTGCCAGAAGTTTGAAAACTAAAAACTTGTTTCCAACATTCCTGTCAGCAGAAATAAAACACATAATCATTATTTGTCTTTTAGATGTCTTTCATTGTACACAAGGACAGGAGTTTCATCTGGAACAAGTAATTTTCTTCCTCATTGTTTCTGCTCCAAGTTGGCCCCAAGCATTTAAAGAAAAGAAAATGTGTGGAGACATGCAAAAAAAAAATTGGTAATTTCTTTGATTTGCCTTAGCAAAGAGCCAGATTGACTCCAGGTGTCAAAGAGACTGCAAAAGGATTCTCAGTGATGAATTGAAGTGTTAACTATGAGCCCCATTTGCTTGGATTTGGGTTTGACACCAATTCTGTTTCCTCTGTTTTGGAGCACCACACTCAGGTGTGTTTTTGGGAGTTTCAGAAATGCTCCTGCAGGGCCCAGGGCTCACACCAGTGCTGCTCAGCAGATTTGAGCCATTTTTAATATATTATAAAGACAAAATAGCTTTATTCTTCCACAGAACAATACTATTGCTCTCTGCACTGCTGAAGAGACCAGACACGCAGAAGCTTTGGAATAACTGAATTAATGTTTGTAACTTCACAGGAGCTCCAATCTGCAGAGGTGACCCAAGAAACAGCAACAAAAGCCCAGATGCTGTGGTTCCAGGAGCAGTGGGGTTCCAGCCTGGTTACAGCAGTGACAGGACAGAAATCCCCCCTGATAAATAAATCCCAGCCTTTGCTGTGACAGGGGTGTATTCCAACACACAGGCAGCACAGATCCTCCAGCCACACTCAGCAGCCCCTGCAGGGATGCAGGACGAGCTCCTCCTGTGCTCTGGCACCCGGGCAGTGCCAGCAGAGCAAAAATAAAAACCCAAAACCTTCTGAGCGCAGCACAGCCCCAGGATGGCACTGCCAGCCCCCGAACCCAGCCTGGCCCTGCTGGGCTTTGCCAGGCAGCAATATTGACCAAAAGGGTTCCAAATGAACTTTAGGGTGATATTTCAGCAGGTGCCAGCTGCTGGGATAGCTGGGGGCTGCAGATTCTCCCCCAGAGCTCAGCCCATGGTCCAGCTCCATGGATCTGCTTCCCTCGGCTCAGAGCCGCAGCTGGGAAGGTGCTGCTGCTCCTGGGGGGTTCTGCTGCCCTCCCTCCTGAATCAATAATCAATAATCAATCCCTTCAGTAATCAGCCTGCTCTGATGGCTACAGCACTACCTGTACATATTTACAAACATATCTTGCTGGCACATTTTCATTTTCTAGTATTTTCCACGTGCACTTGCAGAACATCTTGTACTCGTTATTGCAAATATACAGACTCCAAACTGACCTAAGTTAATAAGAAGTGTAGATATTGCACAGCCATTTGGGTAAAGGTTTACAGGAATTCTGCAGGAATTTTTTCATAAATTTAGATCCTTAGTGAAAGAGTCCAGTCAAATATCTCATTAGGTAACACATGCTGCCTCCTGCTGCTCCAAAGGGTTTTGAAATTGTGCTTCTATTCACATCTTGCACTACCCTGTTTGGCTTTGAACTTTAATGCACTTTTCAAAGTATTATGGGTGTCCTGTAGAAACTTTTAAACAAGACTTTTTATTCATAACCAGCACCAGAATTTTTAATTGCAATATATTCACTTAAAAAGGTCAGCTCTCAATGTCTTTGGGAAAGCGTGTTTTTGTGTTCTCCTCATATATTTGCATTTTATTCATTTGCTAAATTCGCTTTGCATGCATAATAAATATCTCCAGGAAGCAGTGCTGCTCTGCAGCTTGCAGCAGAGTGGTGTCTCGTGCCTCTTATTTACTTTTTAATTAGAGGAGAACAAGTTAGGACAGTGTGACTGGGAAGTGAACCCCAGCTCATGTCAGTGCACAAAACAAGGCAAAGCCTTGCTCACACACCAATTAAGAATATTGTTGGTGATAACCTAACCTCAGGCTTAAATAAATTAATAGAAAAAAAAAATTTGCTTCGTTGTACAGGCAGGAGATTGAAAACAATGTTTGAAATGCACATTTTTTAATTTTTTGGGAGAAAATGTCCCAATGGTCAAAGTCTGCTGTGGCCACACTGAGATACCCCCACAGAGCCCCTGGAGCTGCAAGGACCACACCTCACAGAGATGCCATGTGAATTATCTGGAGAAATGGGAAGAGATTGCCTCTGTGTGGGAAGGAAAAGATTGTGCAGCTCACCAAAAAAACCCTAACCCTAAAAAATCCCATGTGATAGCTCAGTAACTGCACCTGTAAATAAAGTCCTGTGCAGCTCCAAGGCTGCACTTAAGCTACAGTGCTGAGCAACTTTCAATTTCTGAGATGAGCAGATATGTAAGGCAGAACAAATCATCAATGCTCTTACCTTTGTTAATAAATCCCTTTTAAAAGTTCTTATTATTGAACAACTCTAACATCTTAGGGGAAAAAAAGAGTTTTGGGAACACATTTCGAGGAAAGGGGAGTTCTTACACATTCTTAATGACTTCTTACTTTACTTTTTTTAACACTGATGATGGTTTTGACTGGGATAGAGTTAGTTTTCCTCACAGCAGCTGTGGGGGCTGTTTTGGAACTGGAAGCTGTTGATAATTCAGGGGGATTTCTGATCACTGAGCAGCCCTTACACAGAGCCAGGGGTGATTCTGCTCCCCAGCCCACCCTGATCCCTGAACCAGCCTTACAGTAAGGCTGATCAATAATTATTTCTGAAATGCTTTTTAACCTCGTAAGTTCTACAAAATATCAACTGTTATACAGCAGTTACACTGATATAAACAAAATTAAGGCTACTTTCACTATTAATAACAGTACCTACTTTTTGAAACACAAATAATTTCTCTAAGGAAAAGTTGAATTTGCATAGAAAACTCCCTGAAGTTACTACTTGTTACTGCTCAGTAAACAGTCCCCAAGAAACCTACTTTTAAGAGCAAAGAATCCAATTTCTCTTTCTTCCCTGCAATTATCCCAGTCACAGATTTGTCAGTCTAATAATTTTTCCCCCCAATAACTCAATCAGAAGGAACCATATGGGCCATCTTCAATATCAAAACCAAATTTTTCCAGAGCAAAGCATTTAAAGTTGAGATTAAATCTCAAGCTGTAATTTCTTTCTAACTTCCTGTCCATGCTCCCATCCATTTGCATTTCTCCTGAGCTGGTTCTGACCCATTTAGCAGCAGCTCAGTTACTCTGACACTCACCCCATTCTGAGGACCCCTTTAAACTCTGCACAAACAGCTCTTGCAAAGTTTTTTAGCAATTCCTGCAGAACTGCTTTGAAGAGGAAAACTCAAACCTGTAGATGCTCACCTTGGAGCATAATGCAAAGCTCAATCTGGTTTTTGTTCTGTGAATTTCAGGTTTCAGGAGGTGTGCAGCATATTCAAACAGACCATCAATGTCAATATGAGAAATAATGACTTCCCAAAGGAATTTCAACATTTGCCTCATTGACATCCAGCACCACAAACTAATAATCTTTAAAATGCAAATAAGAGCCAAGATTTACCACTCCAGGTAGCCCATGCAATCACCAGCAAATAGAGAAATCCAAAAAGACATTTACAAAATAACCAGTGTAACTGGTAATAAGCTTAGTATGGATTTCTGTTTATGCTAAAGGACGTGGAAGGAAGACAAACCAACCACAAAAGCACAAAATCATCAGAAAACTGCAGTAAAAGCAACCCCTGGAATTATAACCTGCACCAGTGAAACCAAACACCAGCCCAAGGAAACAGAACACCCCAGTCTGAATGAAAAACCCATGAAATCTGCCATGGGGGCACTTGGAAAGGGAAAACAGGAATATCCATCAAGCTCCAGCACAGAACTGCACTGGCATTACCTTCAGCTGCATTAGGGGAGAATGGCAATATGTCTTCAAAACAATTAATTCAGCCCTAATTGGGACTGAGAAAGCTCATTCTGTCTTTTACCCGAATGCTGGTAGTTAAAAGGTGATTTTAATTGCCACGGTAATCAGATATAATGAAGAGCAAAACTGTTTCTGATTAAATAACATTTGCATCAGAATTGCAGTCACACTCTGCAGCTCCAGGAAGCTGAATTCTCCAATTCTCCCCTCTCCCTTCACCAGGCACACAGAGGCAATGCTGCAGGAATTCTGCAGATGTGGAATCAGATGGGAGCCATGAAAGGCTTCTCCTCCCAATTCATCTCCCATAAGGAGCAAGAATTGTTCATGATTTGAGCTGTCAGACTCCAGATTTCCAGGTGTGTGCATGAGGCACAAACCTCTCTGTGCCTCCCAACCTCACCTGGAAACCTGGGCTTTTCAGCTTGGTAACTTTTTGAAATATTCATTTTTATAGTGTTTTTTTTAAATTATTTTTTTGCATTGATCTTTAAATATTTTGGAATGTTCAGCAGGTTTTTTATCAGTTTACATATGGTGTTTATGTGGCAGCTCAGTTACACAAAGCACAAAACCACCAAACTGAGTAAAGGGGTCTTCAAAACACTGCCAAAGCCTGAGTTCCTTCATCACTAGGAAATATTCAGAACAACTCTTGATTCTGGCCACACTGTGCTCCTCTATAGTTACACCAAGAAACAGATATTAATTTTCAGCTAATTAATTATAACTAACCTGATCTGTGACCACACAAAAAGCGGTCACTGAACAGCCAGAAAACAGGAAAAATCCTTTTTACAGGACTGCACAAGAAGCTGTCAAATGCAGGAAGCCAATTGCTGTGACCTCCAAGGCTGCAGCTCTGAGTCAAATCTGACTCTGGGAGATGCAGAGCAAGAGCTGAGGGAGGGTGAGGTTAAAATGAGCCTTTGGGTGAAAATCACCTTGTCCAAGTGACAGCTTGAGAGGACATCTGCCTCCTTCCTCCAAGCCTGCTGTGTCACATTCACTTAGACAAATTTACAAACTGTTTATATAAGCAGCAATGGGCACACAGAGGTAGCTGCATCAAGAAAAAATTAGTTATTTGGCAAAAATAGTCAATTGAATATCAATGTGATGGAATCCACTGGGGATGGAGGTTTAGCCCTCCTCCCAGCACAGCAGCAGAGCTGTAATATGTGAAATGGGTGTTTTAAAATATTTACAAATTGGAAAAAAATATTTTAGAAGTATTAAACTAACTTTGTGTCACAGGTTTCCAAACATTAGTTATTTAAATGGCAGGTTTGGTGCACTGGGCCATGTAAAGACATTCATACATTTGCATTTTCATTGAGAGAGGACTACAATGCAAAATGGAACTTTACTTGTATCATTTAATAGGAAAAGACTTTCTTGATGGAAAGCAGAGTGCTGTCAGTGTGATTTGTGCCACTGCTCAGAGTGGTGTCCCCTCACCTGCTTGGAAAGGGGAAAATGCAGAAAAATGAAGGTGTGTGTCTCAGACATTTTTTATGGAAAATCCTTTCCTTGGGGTTTTTCCTCCTGAGAAGCTGGGAGGCCTCAGGAACAAAATGCAAACAATGGTTATCTGCTGCTGTGGGATGCAACAGGTGCATCTGGGATTGGGCTCATGTGGTTGTTTCTGATTAATGGCTAATCACAGTCAGCTGGCTCGGACAGACAGTCCAAGACAGAACCTTTGTTATCATTCCTTCCATTCTATTCTTAGCCAGCCTTCTGATGAAACCTTTTCTTCTATTCTTTTGTGGCATTTTTGTGGCAGGCGGCATATTTTAAAAAAATATTAATCATATCCTGAAAGAATGGATTAGAAAATTCTCATTAGAAACCTTCACTAGTTTAACTTCACAGAGAAAAGAAAATGTGTTCATGCATCACCCTGTGTTTAAATTTTACTTTTTGTTTATAGCTATACTGAAATAGGACTAATATAATAGAACTTATACTGAAATGAGACTAATCTTTACATGATCTGATTATAAAGTTTGTCATCCATAGATAGGAATTTCTGCTACAGAACATTCCAGGCAGTGCCAGTGCCAGTTGCAGCAAGGCCAAAGCCAACAGGATTTGTGGTGCCACTGCAGCATTTCTCCCTGAGCAGGGCCTGCTAAATGGATAACAAGGACAGGTGTTTTTATTGCTGGGTCAGATGAGCAGATTAACACAAACTCATAGAAACTGAACAAAAACTGCGAGTGATCTCTTGCCTAAATCCAATTTTACCTCTCCTTGCTTTCTGGAGTCAGGTAAGAATAAAGCCTCTGTTTTACAACTTCTGGAAATCTGCACAGCATCAACATCAAACCCACCCCATTCCTTCTGCTTTCTTACCTCCCTCTGTGTCACAGAGGTCTCATGTGGAATACAATATTCCCCCAGCTGACAAGCTCAACACATTGCTTTTTATTGTGCTGAAATGTCACTCTGAGCTCAGGCTCCAAGCTCAACTAGATTTTCCAGCTCCTAATAGGACTACAGGGAGAACATCCATCCTAGCACAGACCCCCACACCCAAAAAGAAAGACATTAATTGCCACAATGCCTTGATTATAGAGATGTTTACAAAATGAAATGAACAACAAAGCAAGGAGGACACTTCTTCTTGGAAGTCAATCCATAAGGAAAAAAAAAAAAATCAATTAAGTGCTACAAATGCAAAAAAGCCAATAATTCCCAACACCACGCCTGGAAAGGAACATTACACACATTAAGTGGCAGAAATGGGATGACACGACCAGGTAGGCTGAAACTAAACAGAATTTCCCACTTTGAAAAGTGAACTTTGCCCAGCTTTCAGAACAGCCAGCAAGTATTTCTTATATTGATCACAGATAGCCTTCAGTTTATAATTCCTGACTTGGTTTTGCCTTTTTTAATGATAATCTCTCAGCTAAAAGTGCTGCCTTACCTTTGTTCATATCAATCAGCTGCTGCTTCTTCTTCTGTCTCTCCAGCCTCTCCCGCTCCGCCTTCTCCTTGGCCAGCTTGGCCCTCTTGGTCTTCTCCTCCAATTCTCTCCTTTTGTTGTTTTCTTTCAACGCCTCCTGCATCAGAGGGAAGGAATGTGAGTGTGTGTGCACTGAGGAGAACCAAAATAACCCGGTTTGAAATGAAATAAGAGGAGAAGGAACCGGGGACTTGACCCAACACTTGGAGCACGCGCAGGAATCTTGGAAAGAACATAATGCACCACAGTATTTGTACATGTGAGAATTATTGATAAAAGCAATAAGGAACTGAAATAGCTTTGTATTTATGATAAGGAAAAAAATAATTTTTTTCCAGCAGCAACATTTGTACTTTTCCCTGTTAAGATTGCAATATTAATATTGTGCCATGCTCTTAGGAGGGATGAGTGGGGAGGAAGCCAAGTGTCCACTGTGATGGAAATTCAATTACAAGCGGTTGAAACTCAGTTGCTAAAATTTAAATATAACTCATCAAATATTTTTGTTGATATAGCCAATGTGGATGTCTAAAATTCAGAAAACACAGGAGAAGCAATGGAAAAGAGCTGAATTTTTAGGTTATGACTAAAAGATCTCTGAAGTAACAGGTTATACCTGAGGTCTCTGAGGTAATGGGTTATGTATTTGCTATATAGAGCAAATTAAAAATCCAAGAATCCCAAATGCTTCCAAATACAGAATAATCATTCAAGCAAGGGGCAGCATCTTTCAATGTGGCATTTCAGGGCTTTCCTGAGGTCAAACACCAAATTTCAGCCCTGTTTTACTGAGACTCTGCTGGCACAGCCTTACTCCAAAATGCACCAAGAATTGCACTAGGAACTGCACCAAGAAAACCGCACCAGGAAATGCATCAGGAAAACTGCACCAAGGGAAATGCACCAAGGGAAATGCACCAAGGGAAATGCACCAGGAAAACTGCACCAGGAAAACTGCACCAGGAAATGCATCAAGAAAACTGCACCGGGAAAACTGCACCAAGGGAAATGCACCAAGGGTAATTGCACCAAGAAAACTGCACCAAGAAAACTGCACTCGCTGCCCCAGCACAGAGCCAGCTGCAGCACAAACACCACAAACACCTTTTCTTCCAGAAAAAAAGACAACTAAAGGGCAAAGCCAATGTCTTGTCCCTTTTGGTTTTGGACAGTTCTGTCACTGCACATTCAATCCCACCTGACAGAAATTTCATTTTACTGCTGGAACGGGCGGAGATGCCCCCAGTCTCACAGAGAAAGCAAATATGAAATGTCATGGTTGCACTGGTAGCTCAGCAGCCACTGACATTCTGTGATCACATCACAGATTCCATCACATTTTCTAGCAGCAGAATGAACTAAACAAGCTCTAAAGTTAAATTTTATCTGGAAATTCTCCTTGAGCCAAACTCAATGAGCTCTATCTGAAGGAAGACTCAGACTGCACTTCATAAAACAGAATGGATACCAATGGTGATCAAAAAAAACCCAAAACGCATTCAAAAGAAAGGTTTAATCTTCCTGGAGAGCAACAAGATAAGAAAATATTGACAACTGTGTGTGAGAGGAGCCCTTTTTATCTATGTACACCCATCCACCTCCTGGAATGGCCTTGCTTGTTGCTCCCCTCCATCAGGAGTTGGACTCTTACCCATTCCAGATTTGTTATGTCATTTACTGCTATACATTTAGTCAGAGTTAGCTGAAAGCTGGAAATAAATCATTGGCAGGAACATACTCCCACCTGCTATCAGAGTCAGAGCAGAAAGCAAAAGAAGTCTATTTTCATCTATATTTATAAGCATGCTTTATATTTAAATTAATATTGCTAACAAATTTGATCATAGTTTCTCAAAGCTGATGGATGATGAATGTAAATAAAGAGAATTTTGACTCAGGTGTACAGTGGTTTATCCAGCATCTGCTCTGCCTGAACTGTATCAATCCTTTCAGATTCATTTCCTATAGTTCTGCTGCAAAGGGTTATTTTTCTCTCTCATGGCATCCTTTTACATTCCCCCAGACCTTTTCTCTTCCAAACATTTGAGTTGCAGTGAATTTCTTCTAACACAGAACAGTGCTATTCCAGATTAGCAGGGGTTTTGTTTCAACTCTCAAATGCCAGTGATTCCCTCTCTGTGTAGTTTTACAGGCTGAATTACTTCAAAAGGTAAAGATCAGTTTGAAAACTAAAAAAAAAAAAAACCAAGTTCTGTAATTGCTTTTAAAAGAGGGAATAAAAATCAGCAGTTTTGATACTGCAATATTGTGACAAAGGACTTGCTACTGTTCATAGGGATCTACTGGACAACTAAATTTATTCTCCAATTAAAACTAAACTAATCTAACAGCTAGAAATCACACAAAGAAGCAATCCTCTGGTAAGAATAAAAGCCTTCTCAACAGCTTTAGAGCACATTTTGAAAAGTACTCATCTAGATGCTGTCTTCTGAAAACATGTAAGTGCATGCAAAAAGGGAAATAATTTTCGAGTGAATCTCAGCAGACAGAAATATTTAAATGCATAAAACCCTTTTATTGATGGGCTTTTCATGACCCTCTGTTATTTTGGTTGGTGCATAAGGGCAAGCAGTTTTGCTAATTCAACAGCAAATTAAAAGTTAGAGAAAGTTTGAGTGTGGGTTTGCTTTGTTATAATAAAACCAAAACTGAATTATTGTCTCTCCTAGCAGAGCAAAGAGATTCAGCAAGGAATATTATCTCTTTTTAAGTGAGTTAGTTGAAGGAGCACACAGTTTGATGTTCCCCCTTGTGTTTATTAGGATTCACTGAAGTGCAGCTCTGGCACTCAGCACTGCCAGTTTACAGCTTGGCTTCCTTAAGAAGCAAATAAAAAATTAATGCATCTCTTGCATTCTGCACATATCTTAAGTTTTGACAGACAAACATATTCACACATCGACACGGTTGTAAATAGACTCTCGAAGGTAAATTATTAAAAACAAGAAGAAAGAAAACAAACTGTAATGCACAAATCTCCCTGGATATTAAAGATGCAGCTGGCTACAAAGCGGTCATGCACCAATAATGAGGCTGCCTGTGATCCCCCAGGCCTCCCCAAATTTGCCTTGCAACTGCAAAATATGTCAGCTGAACTTCCAGCAAAATAATCTTCCCCAGCTATAAATCGTTAGGAACGACCAGCTCAGATTATCTGGAAGTTAATCTACAGAAATTCAGTTAAAACACAGCAGATTGAGCAATCAGTGTGCATGTAAAAGGGAGATCCTTCCTGGGTGTTCCTTGGAGGATAACACATTTAAATACATTGTTATCCCCATGGAAATAATGGGGAAGAGCTGGCATTAAACAAGGGCAGAAAATTGAATTCCTGCAGGGTGGCAGTGAAGCGCTGAGACAGGGACAGAAATGTGCTGGGCTGGGACAGAGGGCTGGGCAAGGGGAGCTGCAAAACCACCAAAAACTGCCCAGGCACACCAGCCCTGCGCTGGTTACTAAACAAAATTTTTTGCAGTGTTTAGTAACCAAATTGTTTTGCAGTGCTTACTCACCAAATTTAACAGTACCAATGAAAAGCTCCTTGGTATCACTTAATTACTGCACTGGGTAATAAGATGGAATCATTATTAAATGGCCCTTGAGTGGACAGTTTGGTTTCCTGCTCCTGTCCGTCAATATTTGGAGAGCAGAATAAACACACACAGCTCATTCAGGTTGTTCCTGATAGGGACCCAGAGCTGAAGTACACACACAAAAACAAAGCTGAATCACTGTTTTTACAGAAAACACACCCAGGAAAACAAATGTTGTGTGTTTGGGTACAACCCCAAAAGAGAAACCACGGCCCGGGGCAGACCAATTTTTGTTTTGTTCCAAAAGCAATCTTTCTGGATCAAGGAAGACAAAAATCAGTGTTCTGGCACATCATCATGCGAGCACAATCCTTCAGACTTTTTAACAAAAATTCTTTCTAAGGTAAGTCTGTAAGAACTGTTCATACAAGAGCCTGAATCTAGTAAAAAAACTGAATTACTCTTTTTAATAGCAGGACCTTGAATGTGACATGCTGAAAGGTTTCAAAGTTTGTGGGTAGAAAACTTTGACAGATTTTAAAAGAGACCGTGAGAATTACACCCAGTGTAGTATATAAGGACAAAATGTAATTAAATAACAAAATAAAAACGCCTGGCTTGGAAAGACTTTGCAGACTGCCTGCAAGACATGGTTGGTGGAAGGAGGCACTGCAGAGGGTGGGAGGCATTATGGCATTGCACTGCAAAGAAATAATAAATGTGGGAAAAACAACACTGCAGGGGCACACTCCCACAGCTGCAACTCCTTCCTGGAGGTTCCTTACACCTTGTGTTGGAGATTTTTTCAGGGATGGCCTAGAAGGCAGCTGTGAGGAGCAGGTTCTCACAGCCTGTTTCTGTGAACAGCAGAGGTTCTCAGGTTATTTTTAACTACAGGTAAAAGTGACAAACATGAAGGCCTTGAGAGCCTTGCACATCAGAGTTCTCAGGCAGCTTTCTCATAACAAGTGGATGTTCTATCTTTGGCTGTTTTGGGAAAGCAAGAATAATTTTGAGAACCCAAATCTTGGTATTGGAAACATAAGGAGGAGTTGGTGTGTTATCTCTGACCTATTGTGAGCTCAGATTTTGCAATATGCATGAACTTGATTAACACTGTTATAAAAGGTGATTGATTGATTAATTAATCGGAGTCGACGCTGACCAACGCAAGGTGGGTCGTCTCCCCTCCAACTTCAATAACCTTGCACTGTGTTCTGACAGGATCAGCAGCCCCACAGCCCGGGCTCTCCCACACGTGCCAGGCAAGCAGATCTGAACCTGGGCAAGGGAATGAGCTGTAATTGACTCCAGCAGCATCACTCTAAATGAAGCTGCAATAATGCACTGATCAATCTGGAATCACAATTAAGACAAACACGGATTCCAATTATCAAATTATCTTAATGGGATATAGGAACAAACAGAATGATGAGGCTAAGGGGATGTACGGGAAAGAAGGTGATACATGTGAGAGAAAACTTGGAGGTGTTGGAGAAGTCAGGTTCGTTCTAGCACAAGAGTTTCAGGAAGGTTTGAGTGCAGATGTTGGCAGCTGGAACCTGCACACATCACCTGTGCAGGGTCTCTGCTGGCCTGGGCACAGCCAGGTAATGAAGGCAAAGCCTCACAAGAGATCCTCAACAGCTTCAGCTCTGCCTCAGCCCAAATCCCAAACCAGGCTCTGCTTTCAGAGTGGAATGAGGATTCAAAATCCTCATTTAAATATTACAAACTTTCAAAGATAATGCCTGGAAATAATGACATTTCTCAGTTGGACTCACTGCTACCGGCACTGAATATAAAACAGAAAAAAAAAACTAAAGAAACCTTTTAAATCCTGTTCCTTTCAAGATGAGGAAATTTAACTTCATGGTTTCCTCTGGACCATGTTCTCCACTATAACTTTTGAAAATATTCCCTAATCAATGGCATCTCTACCCTGAAATGTGGCATCCAGTGGTGCCACAAAGAGCCACCTCAAGAGAGAAACAACAAGGTCAGAACAAAATCCCAACTCGAGCTGGGCACTTATTTCTACCCTTGCCAACACAGTGTACCTGAACTCAGTTTAATTTCTTTTATTATTATTTATTTTTGCACTTTTTGGGGAGCTTCCAAGAGAAATGCCATCCTTGTGTTTTACGCCATGAACAAAGCACTTACTAACCCTGGTAAATAAACTGAGTTACTGCTCCTGTGGGAATTCCAGCACCTGCATCCTTTCCTAGCCCACCCCTAATTCCTGATTTGTTCAGGATAATGATTAAAACCCATTGTGAACACTCAGATGAGAACTGGGAGCTCACAAAAGGTTTGTGTGTTGGGTTTGGGCAGGGGGAGGCAGGGTTTGCTGTATATTGCCTGTTAATAAGGACAGTGTTTCACTTTTGGTACCACCTCTTGGGAAATTTCGCTGAAGAAAATACTTCTTGCTCATTATTCTTTATTTTTTCCCAGCTTCCTGCTAGCTGGAAACTGTTATCTTTCAGGCTGCATTAAAGAACTGTTACTTTTTAGGCAGAAGGGATGAAGTGTATTCCCAGACAAATAACCAGAGAAAACAATGAATAAAAAGAGCCTTTCTTTTAAACCACTCCTGAATTACAAACACAATTTATGAGTTTGAAAGCTGGGAATTTAGCCTGCCTATGCACTGTATTTCATGGTAAATCAGATGTTTATTATGTATTTATTTATGTATTGTGGATTCATTGAGTTGTATTACTGCAGCAAATGACCTGCTGCATTCCAGGGACACTTCAAAAAAGCCACCACAAAAACCACTCCTGAGTCTCAGAGCCTGAAAGCTCCTTTGTAGCAAGTAATAAACAAATATTGGGGAGAAGGAAGGGTCTTGCAGGTCCATTTGTACTCAGGATGCTGAACGCACTTGGGAAAAGCTGCTCGGTATGAAGGAAATAAAACTGATGTTCCTGTCCTGTCTGGGGCAGGGCATCAATCTCACAAAATCCTGGAGCCCAGAGAGGTGGGCACCAATAAAAAGTGTTCAGTTTGCTGATCACTGAATGTGCCTGCTCATTTTGGGGAGATTTTCACTTTGTGGATGCTGCCCTGAGGGCACACAGCAGCCATCAATCAATAGCAGTGCTGATACAAAAGGACAATTTATTTCACTGCTGTTTCACCAAGCCCATCTCTCATCCTGCCACCTGATGAGTTACTCACATCTGCTTAAACACTGCCTGGAACTGGAATAAACCCTTGTCCTCAAAGCGCATTTATAATGGACTTTAAGATTTAATTCCTTATTCAAAAAGCTGCATTTACACAAATGCGAGGGAAGCAGTCCCCACTGATAAAAGTGTCTAGCAGATAAAAAATATCACTCCAAACAAACCATCCTCTCTGCTTATCATGCAACTGGGCCCAAAAAATCCCTTTTCCTGCTGCAAAAACAACTTGGTTTTTTTAGACTCAAAATTCACCTTTAAGACCATCTGCATTAAAGGAAGCTCACAGAGCAAACAAAATCTAAAACATTTAAGTGGGTTTTTAAATTAAAAAGAAAAAAAGGAAATTTTAAGGAAAAAGGAAAAAAATTTTAAGAAAAAAGGAAATTTTCCCATCTAGTGCTGAGGTGCATATTTCATACAGCTTCCACAGCACAGGAAAGGAAGTTTCTGTTCATTTACAAATGCAGGAGTGACACATTTGGGGGAGGTTTTCAAGTCCTCTGCCACCAACACAAACAAACACTGAGAAAGTGACAGCCTGAAAACATTACAGGTCACTTGGTACAGAGTGTGAGACAGCAAGTTAAAGACAAAAAATGGAAAAGAACAAACTGGCATCTTGCTCCAGGCAGGATTAATCATTATTTGATAAGAGCCTGATCCTTTTGGGCCTGATGTTGTATCAGGTTGCCCTCAAGGACAATGGAAATTTGTGTTTTCTTCTAATGGAATAAAGGACTAAAAACGGAAAAAAATATATCTTCTTCAGAAGAGTTCTAAATATTAAAGAAATATTATCGTCCAGTAGATCTTTAACTGCAGAGAGGGAAAAAAAGAAAACCCACACCAAATAGAGGAAAAAAAATAAAGCCCACACCAAACCACCCTTTTTGCTACTTTCAGTTCAATTTGCAGCTGGCTCCAGGAGAATCCACCTTTCCATTTATTCTCCAGCCTTGAATTTGACTCATGTTCCATGGCAAAGAGGAATCCTGTGGAAATGTTTATTTAATTCCTGTGGTACTGCAGCCACCTGGAGGACTTTGGAGCCTCCAAACCGACCGGGCTCAAGGCACAGGAAAGGAGAATTATTCAACAAACAGTTCTTGTTCCAGCAAGAACACCAAAGAATGGCAAACAGGATAAAATGAGCCATCAATGGTTATAAAATATCTGGAATCACACTTCAGCCAATCACCAAAACTCCACAAGAAGCTGATGGAGCCCTTGGAGGTGTCAGGAATGGGAACAGGACAAATTTAACACAGTGCTTGCTCCAGGGAATGGTTGGAGATGTTCTCTACCCCACTCTTATCTGACTGCTCCTCAATTCTTATCAATACTTATTACTTTTTGAAAATAAATCCCACAGATGAAAGGAATTTCAGCATATTCCTCCTCTGGGGAAACTTCTTGCAAGCATCAAAATATCGCAGAAAATGTTAATTCTTTTTTTGTAATTCTTTTGCCCCTTACAGAAAAACAAAAATCCTTCACTATGAACTTTTAATGTTTGCCCTGGTCCATTAAACCTGAACATTGCTAAAATACCAAAGTTGAATTAAATTTGGCTCAACCTTATCCACAGTTGAGGGGTAAATTTAGACACTGGAGGACAATATGTCATGACCAAAATCTAAATAATTCTGGAAATGTTCCTCCAATTTCCTGCCATGGAACAAAACACAAAATTAAGCATAACAGAAAAAATAGAGACACAAGGAAAGAGTTAAAACTGGGGGAAAAAATCTATAAGAAAAATGTTGCATAACATTTTGCAGGTATTACTCACCAAGAAGAGCGTTCTGAAGTTGCTCAGATCACCAAAGAATTCTTCGATGCTTATTGCTTTGGGATCAAAGGTGAAGTACTCTCCCAGATTTTCATACAGTTTTGTCATGTTGTTGTGCATGTTGGACAGTTTTTCATATTGTTCTCGGGCACTCTCAGCAAAGCTGTGAGGTTTTGTTAAGGAAAATGCCTCAATTGCAGCACAAATAAAGGAATAAAAATAAAAACCCAGTAAATAAAGGAAAGAGTACACAAGGAAAGAGCTCTCAGTACAAAGGTTACACCTGCAAAATGTGCTCACAAATATGACATTTTTATAAATATTATTAATAATATTATGAATATTAGCAATTTATGAATTAATATTATTAATGTCTGCAAGTTCACGCCAACACTTCCATCAAATAATCCCTTTCCAAGTGAAGATTTGCCACTGACAGAGAACACAACTTGCTCTGTAAAATTTTTAAATGCTGTAGGCCTTTTAATTTGAAGAGATGAACAATTTTATAAAAAGAATTCTATAAAAACACCCAGTGAAATTCAGTTTGCTGCGGGAATCTGTGGTCTCACTGCTCCAGTGAAGCACTGTCCCCCACCCGACACACATATTTTATATATAAATGTGCATAAGTACCAACAACAAAGTCACACAGAATGACATCTCATTTTCTCTGCCTTTATCACAGAACTCTTCCCTGTGGGTTCCTCCCTGCCCAGGCACACAGTGCTGCCTCCAGCTGCCTCTATCAGGGTCACTTTCTGAGGCACAAACTCAGTAATTTCACCCAACTTACAAAAATGAAATATCCACCCACCCATCCCAGCAAAGTGACAAACAGCTTGGAGAAATTATTACTGAGAAAAACACCATGGAACAACACAAGGCTTGTTTTGCTTTCCTTAGGAAGGGTGGAAGCCTGGAAATGAGACTGAGATTGACTTTCATCCCAGCAGCCATCATTAAAGTTTGACATAATGCTTTTAAACAGAAAAACGTGGTGCTTTTTTCTCCCTACATGAAAAAACCCTAGATAAATATGTATATATTTATAACACCTCTAGAATAGATATATAAATTATAATATATATATTTAAACTAGATTATATATGACTATGTTTTATATATATTTTATATATATTTTATATATATTTCATATACTTTATATATATTTATAAATATATATAAAGTACATATAATATATATTTATATATATTTATATACAAAACATATATATATTATATCAAACTATATTTGTATTATAACTATTATAATATATAATATACAATATATTATATATTATATACTATATATTTTTATGTTTATATATAAAATAAGTATATAAATATATATAAAGTATATATAATATATATTTATATATATTTATATACAAAACATATATATATTATATCAAACTATATTTATATATTATAACTATAATATATATAATACAATATATAATGTATGATATATAACGTATGATACAATATATAATATATAATATATAATATATAATATATAATATATAATATATAATATATAATATATACATAAGGATTAAATTATATATTTTATATATATAAAAATCTATGTTTATATATTATTATATCTATTTTCATATGTATATATTAAAAACATTTTAACTAAGAGAGAGTCATAAATAAATAAATAAACACTTAAATTTTTTTTCTCAAAAGTATGATTGAAAACTTTACAAATATCAATTTTTCCAAGCAATCCTTTCAACCAAAGCCTCAGTGGCCTAAGAGCAAAGCTGGTAGCTCCTAAAGTTCATTTAGAAACACAAACTCACTCAGTGATGGATATTAATTTATAAAATCAAGATTTTGAATCATTATCTGCCCAAACAGTGCCACAGCAGTGGCGACACCAACTCTCCATTTATTGAAAACAAGTTTAAGCCGCTTGATTAGAATTTCAAGCTTGGCCTGTTGAGCTGCTCATCTCAAGATAAACCTGGTGCAGTTCAGTCTTCAGTGACATTTAACTGCACAAAAGGAAATGAAAGTTTAATGGCAAGAATACATTAAATAGGTAATAATGGCACATTACTAAATTATTGAGCACAGACTAAAAATTTCAGAAAAACAGGAATTGCCTTTGAGTCAGCAGATTGCTGTCGTGAGCAGCTCACCAAAAAAGAAATACATATAAATGTACAGATTAATTCAGTGGATCCTTTAAAAACAATCTTACATTATGTGATAAAAACCCAAAAATGACTGAAAAGCCAAAAAAAGAGAAAAATACTTGGACAATTCCAGATTTGCAGCCTATTGTTGGAGGCAGAGCTCCCAGCTCTCACTGGTGCTGCAGTCACGTAACAAATAACAACAGTGAGCACTAAAAAACCCAGCAGTGCTGCTGAAAGGAGATATTTTAAAGCACCACTCTAGAAATAGACACTGTAATTTCAACATTATTATTTTTTATCTATTAAGCACCGAACTGCAAGTAAGAAATATCTTTAACAGATGGGCTGCAAGACAAAGGGGTGGCAGCAAGACAGATGAACAGGGGGAGCCAAGGGAGAATTGAGGATTTCAGCCGGGCTTCATTTTGAAGAAAAGGCAGAGCTGCAAAGACAATAGTTCCCAGCCATAGAACATGCAATATTAACAAAGTTATGCCACTCTGTGTGCGTCATCCAACCTTCCTACTTCTAACACATTAATAGTGGAAAACATCCCCTGGAAATGCAGATTCAGGCAATGGAGTGATCCAGGGGAGCACAGCCAGGTGTGCCAACAAATTTAATGAAAAAATTCAGTGAGGAAAATGTGAGGTGTGTTAGCTTTGTGTAACAGCAATCCTTCATTCCAACAGATTTCCTGAAGACAGATTGAAGCTTTGCCAAGTGCTCATTTAAAAACTCCGAAGTTGGTTTCACTGTCACCACCCCAAACCAAACCAAAAATCAGATTTTTTCACTAGCAAGTTTAAAGGTGCTCGTTCAAGTAGCACAAAGTACTTTATTCAGAAGCTTGGTTTTCCCACATTTTCTTGCATGCCACCGCAGAGCAGGATTCTGGCCTGAGGAACCACCAGGCCTAAATATCTGGTTTAATTTGTTAGAGGAGAAAGTTTGAGCCAATGGTGTCATCTTTAATGAAGGATGCACAAGAGCTCTCAGTTTCTAATCTCCCAGCTCATTCATAATAGAGCCAGATGTGCCAACATTATTTCATTAAAAAATTCAGTGAGGAGTCTGAGGTGTGTCAGCTTTGTGTAACAGCAATCCCTCATTCCAACAGATTTCCTCGAGAGAGACTGAAGATTTGCCAAGTGCTCATTTAAAAACTCCAAACTTGATTTCACACTCCAAACCAAACCAAAAATCACAGATTGCCATTGCAGAGCAGGATTCTGGCCTGAGGAACCACCAGGCTAAATATCTGGTTTAATTTGTTAGAGGAGAAAGTTTGAGCCAATGGTGTCATCTTTAATGAAGGATGCACAAGAGCTCTCAGTTTCTCATCTCCCAGCTCATTCATAATAGAGCATTCTTTGAATTGAACTGTGGCAAAGCAAACAGAACTTGCTAACTGAAGACAGAAATTCAGCTTTAATAGCACTAAGTCATTCCCACTGATAGCTCTATTTCCACCTGCTATCAGGATGTAAACACATGCTAACAATTTCATCACTCACTCCATCCATAATGCATCCCTGTGACTGCACAGCAGCCAAGACTTCTGCAGCATACACAGACAATTATGAATCACAATTATATCCCTAATCTTTTCCTCCTGTTGGAAGCCTTTGCAAAAACAAAACAAAACAAAAAAACTGCAGAAATCTTCATTGCAATACACTCTACCCAAATCAGAAGCCAAGAGCCATAGCAGGAGCTCAGCTTTGTGTGTGTACACAGAATCACGTGCTAACTGGAAAGCTGAAAGATTCCCCAATAAAATTCCATAAAAAGCTCAGTGTGAGAATTTCTTTCTCATTACAAAGCAAATTACCTCATCATTCAGTGTCTGACAGAACAGCTCAGGAAAAACCCAAACAAAGCAAAGCACAGAGAAGCAGGGGATTCTGAGCAAGGAGGGCTCTGCCTCCCCTTTGCTCCATTAGTACCTGAAATTATCATTAACTATCAGAATTATCTAACAACTGCATTCATTGGAAAAAGCCAGGATTTCAGTGGGTTTTGTGTTTGTGGGAATGAAGCACAGAAAAGTCATAACCATCCAAGAACAACCCTGACTCAACCTGCTCCTTCTCCCAAAATCTCAGAATAACAATTAATTCACATTAATTAAAAAGAAATTTCTGACTTGTGCCTAAATGACCATAAAATTTTCATCTTGGTAAACACAAAAAAAAATCTGTCAGTGTTTACTTCCTCCCAGCTCTAAGCAATCAATTCAGTCCCTAACTTTGCTGCATTCAAACTTCTCTGTAATGAAAAGAATTTCCATTGATTCCACCGCATTGCTATGCACAGGAGAAAGCTTCAGTCAACATCATTTCAATATTACTTTTTTATTTGTACTTCTGTTGATGAGGACACAAAGATCACTGCTCAATTCTGTAAACCCAGAGGAAGTCTCTGGGCAAAAACTGATAAACAAGGGCCTACTTTGAAAATATTCAGTCCAAGGAGCAAAGCTCCACAGAACTTAAAACTTGAACTGTTTTATACTGGGAAAGTTGGCTCCAAGATATAGGTGGTAAATTAGGAATTTCCTGTGGTTACAAAAAGAAAACTTTAAATACATAAGAGCACTTGGCTCTCCAAAGAGAACACGAAAGACAAAATTTCTAAAGCCACAGGCTAGAGAGAAGGCAAGACCTTTTCTATATTAAAAAAAAAAAAAAAAAAGCACTAAAATTGGAGCTAGGCATTAATCTAAATTAACCTGAACCACTTCTGAAAAAGATAAATTGCTGAACTCAGAATTTTTTTCCCATTATTATAACAGAGAAACAATCCCCAAATTGCATATTCCAATTTTAGAGCTTTTAAAAGCTCTACAACCACTGGAACAAACCAAACCTTTCACCCTGGCAAAAGCAACTCTTTATCTCCAGTGATTTCATCACCACAACTTTGGATTTGCTTTCACACTGCCTGACACCAAAAACCACCTCGTTCTTAATTCTCAGTTGTGATATCCTGATTTTTAACTAATTTC